TTTTTGTGTGTGTGTAATGACATTTATTTATATTAAAACATTAATTTTAAAAATTTCTAGAACTTCGAGTTTGTATGAGATTTGAAACTGTGCTGCTTATATGGGCGTCTAGGGATGGGATGGGGAAGCGGGCAAGAAGAGGTGCTAGTTGGCAGCCAACCCCTCCACAGACTTGTCCACAGATTGGTTGTTCGCTTCATAAATGAGTTGTTTCTACTCTGGATTTATAATTTGAAATTGGTTTGGAACAACGTTTTTCAGGGAAGCTTCCAGAGTGAGGGTTATTATTCTCCCTTTGTAACGTAAGCTGGAAAGAGTAAGTTCACCTCATCTGCATTTCTGGTTCTTTACCCAAACCATGTCAGCACAGAACAGGGTATTTGAGCTCAACTCCCACATACTTGTGGAAGTTAAAAGACTAAATGAAAATCCATTATTGGGGAAAATAAATTCTTATTTACATTTCCCCAAAAATCTAAAACCATCCCTGTTGTGGGTTTTTTTTTTTTACTTTTTTTTTTGTGCTTTATCTGTGTTTAAAAAAAAAAAATGTACTGGGTTATAATGCATTTTATTAACACTATGTACATATTAGCTGCTTTGTGTTTCAGAATGGTAGTAATTGCTTTGTATATTAAAGTGATTCTTGTGAATTTGTGAATTATTGTCATAAAGAAGTGCTTTTTCTTACTGTAACCTTTGTGGTATAAACTGTCATAACTCCCTTTTTACACAAACATTTATGTGCAGTCACATAAACATGCTTTAAAAAACTCTACAAAGTCTCTTTTTTGAGCAGGATGTTCCATTTACACTAACATAGTGGCAAATGGTAGCTAGATAGGAATATGGGGAAAGGCGTATTGTAAGCAGACGGTGGTGTCCTCTCATGAATTGTGGCCTGCTGCAAGTATTCATGGGGTATTTTCCCCAAAGGGAAGGCTTTCTCAATCTTAATTAAAATGAATTAGATTAGTGAGAGGTTAAGTCCTGGAAAACGAAGTTTCCCCTTCCACTTCTGGTATTTTTAAACCTGCTTTCCAATATCCGCTCTGGTGGCAATTAGTTCTGCTGTTTAATAATGTGTGAAAGGCTTCTCCCTTTCACAGTTTAAATACGCTGCCTTTCCCACTTTTAAGCATCCCTGTAAACGATGTACTAGCGATGTTAATAACGGAGCAGAACAGAAGGCAGCAAACACTGCAAGGATCGCAACCCAATTATGTAATCTGCAAGGCTGGATCCAAACACCGGGAAGAAAGCCAGGCGAACAAATTCAGCGCGGAGGTAAACACACCTCCGGTGAAATCAAGGGGAAGCAGTAAGGTCAGCGCATTATGGCTGGGATTTTGTGGTTTTCACAACTGAGCGTTTTCATAATGCCACTCACGTACTTGCTCAGAAAAATCTGCATCTCAGTAATGAGGGAGAATCCCAAACAGGGGTTAGTCCGTGAGATAAAAAGGCAGTTTGGTTTGCATTTTGCACTGGAAAGAATTGGGTAACACAGATCCCTGTGCAGTCAGTAGGTCAGCTGGTAAACCTGATTTTTCTGACACCACTGCACCTTGAAGCTCTTCGTCCATAAGATACAGAGCTGAATTTCGTACTCCGTGTCTTAATCAAACATGACTTTAGCTGCAATGACATTTTAGAAAAGTTGGTTCCCTTGCATTACGGCATGTTTCAGGGATGGTTTCACAATCTCACAGCATGTTCACATCTTATCTGGTCACTTCCCTGTGACTTGGATCCTCTCCCTAGGGTGAGTATTTTATTTCTTAAGAGACTATTTATGCATTTCCCTACTACTCAGGGGCCCATGCCCAAACACATCCTCCCTACAGTTACAAAACAGGACCAACGCAATGGAACCACCCAAAGGAGAATCACGCCGACTTCTCTAGTGCTGGGATGGACAGGGTGACAGAAAAGTGCTTGAGCAGGGCGTTAGTGGAATTGCCAAAGAGCCACTGAAGCATGACCATGCATCATCTCCTACTAGAGCAGAAGCTCACCTGGGAGCAATAGGTCGGGACGCCAGAGTTTGCCGGTGTCATCGAGGAGGGCTGCTCTCTGTCGGCTCACTCGCCGGGCAAGTAAACCTCTGCTACTTCTGTCCCACACGTCTGGCGTGGTTCACTCCCGACATCTCCCCGAATCTAAGTGTGATGGGACTATAAAAAAAGCTGGGAAGCCCAACCTGGGACAACAGAAGGCACTGCTCACTGCCTGCTGCGGGTG